AATACAGAAACAGGGGATACAGGCCGACACAAGTGAACCAAACGTCTGCTTTTTTGAAAATTAAAGAAACAGTGGCTCCAGGCAGATACAACTGGACAAGTTGCTATTTCAGTATAATAATAAAAGAACGGGTGGATACAGGCAGACACAAGTGGACGCAACGTTATTTCTATATAAAAAAAAATAAAAAACATATACTACAGGTGGACCCAAATAGACATATTGAAATTTAGATATAAAAAATAAAAAAACAGGGAACACCGGCAGACACTCGTGGATACAACGATAGTTCTATAGGAAAATGAAAGAAAGAATAAAAGATACATATGGACTCAAGTGGACGGAACGATATTCTTAAAACAAAAAATAATAAACGGGAGCTATAGACGGACACACGTGGATTCACAAGAAGATTATTCCTGAACATATCTTGTGCGGTCATTACGTTTTTTATAACCTTTTTCGATTTTTGAATACTACAGAATATTTACCTACTTTTTAATTATGTTTGTCCGAGTATTATTTTTTTAAAGCATAAAATTATCACCTCGCACTTTAAAAAAGGCATCTTAAACCTTGAAAAGAATATATTTGTTCTCTTGACTTTATAAAGCACTCATCATAAATACCAGGATTAAAAATGTGTACGCCAGACGCCAGTATCAACCACATTAATGCTTAACATTGCAAATTATGTAAGCTGTAAAATATACAAAAGGTGAGTAGTATTATAGTTTCTAATTTTATTTCATTCACACTTTATCTTTTTGGTATCTTAGATGAGTTTTTTTTATTATTACACATTTGGTTGGTTATTCAAATAAAAACAAAAATATTAGTTAGGAGAACAGCTCCCTTATAGAACTGAAATGTTTGCCGTAACCTTGCTGCAAGTTTGCAGGAAAACAGAACATAGTGATTGCAGATGTTTGCCGCTATCTGCAAACTTCCAGCAAACATTGCAGCGTTTTGATGCAAGCTTGCAACAAGTTTGCAGAAACACCAATGTTTGCAGTAAGACTGCAAGTCAGAGAGTTAAGATAATAAAGAATGCTTGCCGCAAGATTGCAGAAATCCATTCTATATGTTTGCAAGAATATTGCAAGAATTATACAATATTGACTGGGCATGACTAGTTGTCTGGAAGCTAACAATTTGAAGTGTTTGGTTAGGTCATGTTGATTGTGTTTGAGAAATGTTATATGTAAGAGATCAAGGAGGCATTTTGGTACATTGATATAGGATATTTAATATGTAATTTTGTGATTACAAATTATTCATAGAAATGTAGATTTAATAAAATAATTAATGCCACCATCACACATAATTAAGTTAACTGTGTTTGAAATACTCTAGTTATTATAAATTTGGATTTTGTAACTGATTAAATATATACTACTAGTATTCAATAAGTTCATTTCAATTCTGTAATGCAATTATTACCTAGCTGAATGCTTAATACACATTTGAGATTTATCTGTTTTTATTTCTTTATATGTATTTACGTTTGAGCATGCTTCATTTGTATGGTAAAATGGTTGCGGCAAGATTGCAGCATAAGTTTGCTGCAAACTTGCGGCTATGTTTTCTGCTAGTTTGCTGCAAATAATTGCCACAAGGCTTATTTTTCGAAAAGGGAGGTTTATACAATTCTAAACCTGTTTAAACATAAAACAAAGTAACTAAACTCATCATAGAAACAATGATTAAAATTTTATACGCCAGACGCGCATTTCGTCTACAAAAAACTCAACAGTGACGCCCGAATAAAAAAAGTTAAAAAGGCCAAATAAAGTACGAAGTTGAAGAGCACTGAAGACCCAAAATTCCGAAAGGTTTTGTCAAATACAGCTAAGGTTATCTATATAGTATTTCGGCAAAATCAAAGTTTTATAAACTGTTAATTTAATGAGACCACGTGGTTAGGTATTTATATATCCTGCTTTCGAGCATTTTGTTTTTACTTTCTTTTACGTGTGGGTCCGGTGGGTCATTTTGTGATGAGTTGTTGTCTGTTTATTTCAATTGTGGTTTGAATTCTGTGTTTTCGGTACATTTCACATATATCTTATTTGTCATTATAGTCGAGTTACTCGTGGTTCGTCTACAGGGTTTTTGTTTTATGTTGTTTGTTTTCATGTGTGTTTATTTTTTGGTCTTACATGATCTTGCCATATATAACAGTTATTTTATTTTTATTTTCTATATGTATGAAAAAGTTAAGATAAAAAATCAGCTACTTCATTTATATGATTTTAAGTTTAAAGCAACTATATATGCACAGGTTTTTTTGTTTATTCACAGTTTTGATTTAGAAGAAAAACCGACATGGTTAGAAAATACAAATTATAACACCATTACAAACACAATTTCATTTTAATATTCTTGCCATGGTTAGAAAATACATAAAATAACACCATTACAAATTCAATCCCAAATATTAATAATCTTGTTCGTGTTTATAAATAAAACAAATCTATTGTATTTTTTAGAAATTTACCTGTGATGATATAAACGTCACAAAAATACGTCACTTTTTGTGTCGTTGATCCATTCATGTGACGCTCAGTTTATATATCGTTTGTGGTGTTCTGGTGTGCTGTCATAAATTCATGGGAGGTATCCGTTGTTATTCTGCGGTTTACATGTTGTAATGTACTATTATTTTGTTTATTAATGTATTTCTCTGTGGTGAGTGTTCTTGCGTTTGTTTGTACAGTATTCCTGTCACGTAGTGTTGTCATTTTAGCGGTATTTTTAACATTGTCATATAAGCGGAAGGTTTGGCTAGCCATAAAACCAGGTTCAACCCACCATTTTTTCTTAAAATGTCCTGTACCAAGTCAGGAATATCGCAGTTGTTATCAGACAGTCCGTTTCTATGTATGTTGGCGTTTGCTTTTGTTGTAGTTCAGTGTTTCTGTTGTTCCGTTATTTTCCCATTATAGTTGAGGGGTTTCCCTCGGTTCTAGTTTGTTACCCGGATTTGTTTTTGCTAAATCGAACTATGACTATTGAACAGCGGTATACTACTGTTGCCTTTATTCATACATTTGTAATTATGACCATATCAATGATAATTCATGTCAACACAGCTGACTAATGGGCTGATGATACCCTTGGGAAGAAACCCCCATCAGCAGTAGCATCGTTCTAGTGGTTGTAAATAAACTCATCATAGAGGAAATTTATGGTTTACGAGAAAATATCCAAAACGTGTATTTATACTCCTTATCCAAAGTATGGTGTTTCATTGGTTACTTCTATACTACCGATCGAGGCAAACCAAAGACTAATTTGTTATTTGCTGTACATCACAATACAACTAAATTTATGAATAAAAGCAAATCTGGTCCGCTCGGAGTCGAATAATATGTTTGGTAACATGTCTTTTTGTTGACTTTTTATGCCCCCGCCGTAGCGGAGGGGGCATAGGTTTTACCCTTGTGCGTCTGTACGTACGTCCAAAAATTGGTTTCCGTTCTCTAACTTTAGTTTGCCTTAACCAAATGTTATGAAAATTATACACAATGCTTACTACTATAAAACACAGATCAAGTTTGAATTTTGGTGGCATTACTTTTACCGTTCTAGAGTTTACAAATGGAAAATTTGCTGAATTTTTCGTTTTCGTTCTCTAACCTTAGTTTGCCTCAACAATATGTTATGAAACTTATACACAATGCTTATTACCACAAAACACAGATCAAGTTTGAATTAAGGTGGCGTCACTTTTACCGTTCTAGAGTTATGCCCCTTTACAAATGGAAAAATTGTTGAAATTTTCGTTTCTGTTCTCCAACTTAAGTTTGCCTCAACCAAATGTTATGAAACTTATAAATAATGCTTATTACCACAAAACACAGATCAAGTTTGAATTTTGGAGGCGTCACTTTAACCGTTTTAGAGTTATGCCCTTTACAAATGGAAAAATTGCTGAAATTTTCGTTTCCGTTCTCTAACTTTAGTTTGCCTCAATAAAATATTATGAAACTTATACACAATGCTAATTACCACAAAATACAGATCAAGTTCGAAATTTGGTGGCGTCACTTTTATTGTCCTAGAGTTATGCCCTTTTACAAATGAAAAAAAAATGCTGAATTTTTCGTTTCCGTTCTGTAAATTAAGTTTGCCTCAATTGAATGTTATGAAACTTATAAACAATATTTAATACCACAAAACTCAGATCAAGTACACATTCGGGTAGCGTCACTTTTACAGTTCTTGAGTTATGTCCCTTTATAACGTTATATGCAAGCGGGGGCATTATCTGTGTCCCATCGACACATTCCCCATTTGTTCTCTTGTGAGCTAATACATTAGCATGTCGGTATAGTATCAAGAAAGGTTTATGTTCTTACCACATTAAAAGAGGGGCGAAAGATACCAGAGGGACATTCAAACTCATAAATCGAAAACAAACTGACAACGCCATGGTTACAAAAGAAAAAGACAAACAGACAAAATATAGTACACAAAACACAACATAGAAAACTAAAGACTAAGCAACACGAACTCCACCAAAAACCGGGGTTGATCTCAGGTGCTCCAGAAGGGTAAGCAGATCCTGCTCCACATGGGGCGACCGTCTAATTCGGTAGGTCACATTCGTGAAAAGGGGTCGGGATTGTAGTAACGACATTAGGAACATATCCGCTATCATCTGTGAAACGGGTATTCCATAACGGTCAACCAACTCGTGATGGCGTCCGTAAAATTTACGAAGGGATGATTTCAACTTCAACATTTGGAACTCTTGCTTTAAAAGTTTCCTAGTAAGCAGCAACCCTCTATTAACATGTAATCAATCTGATGATGATTGTTGTAAGATTTGAAGCTGGACGTTAAACGTTCATTCATCAATATGTAAATCAATCGTGAAATTATATTCTATCTACTTCGTGAGAATCGCCTTCTCCCAATATATAAGTCTAGGTTCAAGTCATACGACATATAGGCAGTATGAAAACCAGAATGTTATGTATAAAAACCGACAATTTTAATTGTTAACATTTTATTACATTGCAGAAATAAAATACATTGTGATACATTTTACATTTTTTTGCACAGAATCGTGTTACTATAAAAACCCTAAATAACGTCTTGGTGAAGTCCCGCAGGATAAAAGCGACACCCTTTTAACATTTGGGTTTATTTTGAAGTTAATTTTAATAAAAATAAACAATTCTGAACATTGCTGAAGAAAGCCTTTTTATTTATATATATATATATGTACATCTAACTCTGTAATAACTTTACGGCAGACGTTCTCCATCGGATAACCTGTGGTTATACAGGGCTAACAACATATTTGTATATTAACCTCGTTTCAAAATTAGCCGAATAATGTTATATCTGCAAAAGCTCGAATCCCGCTGAGGGAAGAACAAAATGTATATATAATATATATTCGGCACTGGACACACTGCAGGCGGTGGTGCCTCGATGTCAACAAAGCAGGGGTTCGAATCCGCTGAGGAATTTGTTAATGCAAATCTGCTGAACTAACATTATTTGGCTAAATTTCAGACCAAGAACACATCGTTTTTTGTGTAAGCCAGGTGTAAACAGAAGTTATATCTATTATATATAGGTTCAAGATCAATGAAATGATATATAGATGAACGGCAATTTGATTGTGATTTTAATTGAAAAAAATAATGTTCTGTAAAACAAATTTTACTCTCAATTTTTTTATATTCAGTAAATTCAGCGTCATTGTTTTATGAAACACCTTTGTATTATTGTTATCTGTCATATTTATCATAATGTTTTTTTTACTCATTAAAAAGTAAGGATTAGCGGACCATTCTAATATATTATGTTATGTAGATGAAATCAGTGGTCAGTACCTCAGTAAACCCAACGACGACTGGTAAATGTTGCCGAGACAATTCACATTTTAACATAACAACCATATATATATATTATATACACAGGAAGTAATGTACATGTACTGTGTTAAAATATAAGTTATTTTTGCCTTTCTGAAAACAAATGATAAAATTGCTGCGTGGTAAAAGTCCAGATAATATTGGTTTGTCTTCTAGTCGGGATGATCTGAAACCACAAAGTATCCACAAGGTAATTTTTATTCTGACCCTGGATAATCCGGAAGTGGTTCTGGTCCTGTTTGTCTAGACGTATATGCTTTATTGTTAAATGTGATTTCCTTCCCCTCAAATGTATCATTTTCGGAATTCTTATACTGAGGACCTATGTATGCTAAAATAACGGGAAGAAGAAAGACCGAATGAATCAAACCGAAAATCATAACCAAAAACATTACTTTGAAAAAGGAAAAGAATATAAAGGATGATGAAAATGCAAGCATCAAGACCCCGATAATTGTCGATATTGCTCCATTGAAAATTGGACCCCCTGCCATATCTAAAGCCTTGGAAACACGAACATTTCTCGTGCCCTCTGCCTGAACAAATGCATGGCAAATATGAGTACTAAAATCAATGCAGAAACCAACACACATTATAATATTTATCATGGTAACAGAACTGAGGGTTAAACCCCAGAACTGAATGAACCCAATAACACCGAGCATAATCATTATAACTGTTATCGTTACTAAAAGTATCATTAAAGGCAATGGCATAAAAATTGCCGTCACCAAAAATACAACTCCTACACAAATAGCAAGCGTCTGGATTGTTTGTGGGAATATTTGAACATATTGCTCGAAAAAGATAAATCCGGGTGCATATGCAAACACAGGAAGGGAAGATGAATCAACTGAGTCTCTTATTTTTGTCATTAAATCAGCCTGTTTGCTTGAGGATGTTATACTTTCAGTAAGGATATGTATTCTTGAAGCTACTATAGTATTTGATGCATCAAATATTACATCATTGACAAAAACTTCACCTGTTGACAAAGACAGGAAAGATTGGAGACCACCAATAAACGCAGCAGCAGTGGAGTTGTTGTATAAAGCAGACGATCTATATGCATGTATCCAGGATAGTAAAAAGTCATTTGAAACTTGCTGAACTTTTTGTACATTTGTTACTAATGAATTGATTTGGCTGACTGTAGAATCTATTCGATAGTCTATACCAGATTCAAAATTCAGGGAAACAATAAGACTTTGACTGAACAAATTTTGGTCTGTATCATAGAAGTCGTAATAATAAGAGCCAGACCCTACTAGATCTCTTATATCTAAACCTTCTTTAAAATCCGTGGTACCCCAAATTGAAATGCCAAGGTATAAAGCAAAGAAGACACAAATGACAATTTGAGTCGGTTTGAACAGAACTACTCGCTTTACAACTGCTTTGGGATATTTCTCAATCGGTCCTTCTATTTCGTCTCTAGATTTGTGAGGTGCACCGGCGCAGCAAAATATTTTACATTTTGGTTTGCCATCTTTTTCCATTTCTGATTTCGACTTTGTTGGTAGACATGTCCAGAAATGAAGATTGTTAGACACACGTTTTTCATTGATTGTCATACATCCGATATAATAGGTAACGTAATTCAGATAACAGAAAAGAATGGCACATCCTGCAAAGGAAAAAATAAAAATAAAACAAAAACAAACAAAAACAAACAAACAAACAAACAAACAAACAAAACACATTTAATTGTTAAGCTAACTTTTCGAAATTTTGTTTTGAAAATATAATATACATCTCGATGGTAGGGTATCAATATTTATCTGATCGTTATTGTACTATTAAATTGACAATCAAACTAGTAGTAAAATGTATTTACAAGTTAATTATGAAATGCACTACATATTAAAACGAAACGTTTTCATATAAATTATACAAGAAAACCCAAAAAAATTTACACTATTTTGTGTAAAAATAATTGTAGATTTTGTTGAAAATAATTATATAATAATATGAAGAAATATTGAAAATAAAAGGCAACATTATTTCCTGAGTAGAAATATTCTAATGTTCTGATTTAAAAATATTTTTCCTTTTTTGGTCATAAAGCTCTTCAACTGATTTCAGTTTTTGTACATCCTTGGATTTTAAATATTCGACTTTGAGCTTCCTGATGAAGGTAAATCCAGAAAAGCGTTATGAACGCGTATAGTTAATAAAGTACTGTTTTCATTTTTAATACACATATTGTTCTTTGTATTTTTAAACGCATCCCTAAATTTATCTACCTTCGATTAAATAATGCAGTTATTCAAGACCCTTTTCAATGACATTAAGACAGTTTTAAATTCACCATCAGTAATCATATAAGTCATTACGATAATACTTAATTTTACATACCTGTATACCAAGAGAAATTTCTGACGCTAGGAAAAACAGACGCAGCACCAGCACAGAAGGCAATGACATCCGTAATGGAAGTTATTGTTATGGATATGCCACTGGTTCTCATTGTTTGACCTATACGTGTCTCGACCGTATCTTTGGCAGATGTATCCGCAAGACCAGATAAAAGGATGAACATATCATCTACTCCAATTCCTAACAAAAATAATACAAAAATTAACTAATCTATTTTTATAATAATGTGGTTGTTAGAATATATAAGACAACGTGATTGCCGGTCGACCGATGACAGTATCTGAAAAGTTAGATTAAAAAACTCCTTCTCGTGTCAACTGCATAGTTTTTCTATGTATTGTACAGTCGATTAAAGATACAAATAAGTCTCCTTTTTAATTTATTTACAATGATGGCTGTTTACATTGCTCTGCTATATGATCACAAAAATTGTCAAAACCAAAAAATCTGTATGCAGAAATGTGAATGATTTACTTTTAAACTGTAGTTCTTGGTTTTAATTCGTATAGATTTTCTATCATTTCATAAAATTATGTATGAAAACATGAAGACTAAGTTCTTTTACAATCTGCTTTCATTGCGGAGATATTTTTTCACACGTTATTTACCAATCAGTCAAAAACATACACAGCGAAAATTTAACATGCCGTTATATAATTATGCCATAATTTCAAGAAAAAAAATAGAAGACGCAAAAAAAAAAAAAAAAAAAAAAAAAAAAAAACTCCGATATGAACAGTATTGTGATATTTAACATGCATCACAAACATTGCAGAAAACGTCTATCAAATGTGTCATTAAAAAGTAAGTGTGTACGCTTTGATTTAGACAAAGTAAAAAATATGTTAAGAAATGGTCTTAAAGATTTAAAATACATGTGTATCAATTGAATACTGTTTTAAAACTTTATAGTACTGATGTCAACGAATATGTATTCCTTATAACATATATCCCTTTTGTGAACCTTTAGTAAAGACAATTTTGTTATATATATATATATATATATATACAACTCGTCTAAACATCAGCCCAATAATGTTAGATCTGTAAATTTGCTTTCGCAAATTTTTTGTTCTTCCCTCGCCGGGATTCGAACTTATGCAACTGAGATATTGTGACACCAAATCGCCTGCACTGTATCCGACGCGCTAGACCACACGACCACCTAGGCTTCACGAAATATATATATATTTCTTATGGAACGAATATTCCACACCACTTATTGCGTTAGGGAAAAATATTTTAAATTCCATAATATTTTTTTCTGCTTGGAACATTGACATGGGCAAGGGGAGTGCAGAAAAGAAATGGAACCAGCAGAACCTTATAATTTAAAGTTATATATACTTGGTATTTTTATTTTTTCCGTCTGTAAAATTAATTGCCACGGAATTTTAACCAATATTGCAAATCAGTCTTATCTTTATCATATATGACAAAAGAAGGGTAGGCGGAGGTCGTGCAGGTAAAGGGAAATGAGTGTACCAATGTTGTTTAATAAACAACATCGACAGTTTTATAACCAAAGAACTTTCAAACTTTACAACGTGTATGTATACGTTGAGAACAAATTGTAATTTTATCATTTTATCATCACAGGGTTTCTGTACAAATTACCAGTTTTAGTGTACGCGCCTTCTTTTACCAGATGATTTAGGTATATCTTCATTAATATACTAGCTGGATATTTTTATCAAATATCTATACTATTAAATTTGTAGACCAAAATTTTTAGCCGGTTTGTCTCCGAGCCGACGATCTTCTGAAGTATTATATAATAATAAATAGTTAGTGATATAATGTACTTTATACCTTCATATAGTAATTGCTTTAATTAGCGTTTCGTCCCCGAGGGTATCACCAGTCCAGTAGTCAGCACTTCGGTGTTGACATGAACATCAATTATAGGGTCATTTTTATAAATTAACTGTTTGCAAAAGTATGAATTATTCGAAATATTAAGGATTTTCTTATCCCAGGCATAGATTACCATAGCCGTATTTGGCACATCTTTTTGGAATTTTGGGTACTCAATGCTCTTCAACTTTAAACTTGTTTGGCTTTTTAACTATTTTGATCTGAGCGTCACTGATGAGTCTTATGTAGACGAAACGCGCGTCTGGTGTATCAAATTATAAGCCTGGTACCTTTAATAACCATTAATTAATTATACCCCAAATAAAATTCCGTAGCTGGTTCATTACCGTCTACGTTTTGTAAGCAAGCAGAAATGGTTTTGTATTCAATTTGTCCTGAATTTATGACAACTCGTCCCACGGCCAACTCGCACCACTGAAACACTCTCACTAATTATTACAACTTGCATCACTTAATCAAACTCGCACCACTCAAAAAAAAAAAGAAGAAAAAAAAAGAAATATAACAAACGCTAAGAAATGTATTTAATCATTAGATTGTTTTCTTCCTCTTTTAGTAAATTCCTCCTTTCTTGGAGCACCCGTGTCACACAGAGACAAAACTCGCACCACTCGAAAAAAAATACTACAAACTCGCACCACTGAAGAAATGTTTTAAATCAGAAGAGAGTTCTAGATTGTCTTCTCTTAGTTATTTCCTCCGTTCTTGGAACACCCGTTTCACACAGTGACAGAACATGACTAGCACCTTTCGAAAAAAAAAAAAAGAAATACTACAAACTAGCACCACTGAGAAAAGTTTTAATCATCAGTGTTCGCGGTTGTTTTTTCCTTCTCTGATTTATTCCATCCGTCCTAGGAGCACCTGTGTAACACCGAGACAAAAGCTACTAATTTGACATTCAAACTCCTTTGGAAGAAGAACTGACAAACTTATCAAAACTATCAACATAATGCATCAGCGCATAAAAACAGTATGAAAAACACGAACCCCAGCTGTGTATCACCATACACATTTCAAGTAGTCTTCAAGCCGCGCTTATTACACATTGTCACTACACATAGGCAGACATACAAATATATATATATATATTATATATACTTCAACCAAACGTACTGTACTCTTAGTCATAAAACTGCAAATGAAGAAACCTAATTTGTTTAGATGTTATATTTTTTTACTTTAAAATACCAGAGTCTATATCCCAAAATATTAAAGCGTTTTTATGTAAACTTGATATCAGTGTTATGTATTAGACTGTAGTATGCAGTCATGATAATGTTACATTGATAAGCTACACCAAAGACAGCGTTCTTGATCTTGATTTAAAAAATAGTGATCACTTGTACATGAATTCATCACCATTCATAATTCGTACAACGCAACAGTTAGTACAAAACTGCATACATATGAAATGTGCATCACCTTTCAAAGGATTTAATGGGAAATAATTGCATAATTACCACAGGTTGAATCTTTGCGAATTTTCGAAAAATTGTACATTTAAATCTCTATGGCACCTCGAGCCCTTATTGAACTTTTCGAATGATATAAGTATCATATGTTCAATACCTACTTAGAAATATATCTGCAATGTATGTTTTCTTTCACTTCATCTGTTATGTTAAAAAAAGATAGAATTGCATATATATCAGCTTCCGTACTTTTTTTTTATCCAACTTGGACTGTTTTCAAGGACCTTCTGTACATTATTTTGTTATGCAGATTCAACTTAAAAATTTTGTATTGTAGTTTTGAAGAAGATTTAAGAAGGTATGCTAAATTTAGACCGTCACATATTCTAATGCAATTACAGACAAATTTCAATTCCATTTCTAAACACTTGTGTAGAAAATATACTTGTCAAAATGTAAAAATCATAATACTGTAAAAAGATCCGATGGAATAACCGACACGCAATTTGGATAGGTCATAAACTGTGCATCAAATAGAATTGAAGATCAGAATTTTTTTTATGGCAAAATCTAACTTGTGACAGCCTTTTGACATCTCAGACAGTACCTATCTTCTAAGTAATGTTACACGAAGAGCTGCCAAGATAGTTAAGTTTTGGGTTGAAGGTCGGTTTTAAAGTTAAGTTTAGTCTTGGAGTTGATTCAATACAAAGTTTAACGTGAGCAGGACCTCTATGTATATATTGCTAAAACTTTTCAAATCTAAAAAGGACAAGAGGAGGGCGAAAAATACCAGAGGGACATTTAAAACAAATACTACAAATGTTTCGAAAACAGAACAGAATAGAATTCTATTCTAAACCAGCTTCGAAAGGTGGTCAAGGTTTCATAGGGAGGAACATGAAATTAGAATAGCAAAATACTTTACCAAAAATCTAACTTTTTACATCCTTTTTAGAGTATAAGGATAACTTATCTGACGAAACATGTTTTAACAGCGACAAACCTGAAAAAGAACTAAAAAATACTGCTTTGGCTTAAAGTTAAGAGACAGCATAAAATGAAAAAAAAAGAGAAAGGTATTGACCTGTAAGGGTAAGGTTAAATTGCTGTATTTGAAAACTCTGTTAAGTCTTAACATAGACAGTAGTCAAATTGAGTGCTCCAAGGGAATGTTTGTATATGTATTCACCTCACCAATCTTATGTATATGTAATAAGCATATGGGCTACCGTTATTTACAACATACGAATGACATGGTCAATATAAGCAACGCAACCAAACCGTGTTGGTAACTGTTATATATTTGAATAACGGATGTATTGGCAATGATGTAGTTGACCATATGAATGTTTCTTCACTCACCTAGAATCAAAAACGGCATTGCACCCACAATATCAACAAATTTTGCACCGCATAAACTCACAAGCCCAAATGATCCAACAATCGCCATTCCAGTACCTAATATGCCAGCAAAACTGAGGTTATATCTGTTGGCTACACAGTTGTTACTCATTAATGCAAGACTCGAAAATATAATCATAAGTGTAAAAGTAACGGAGAAAAAAATAATATCTCCTGTGACGTTTTTACTCAATTCCACATTGAGACTGTCTGAATATGCATATTTAACTTTCAGTATATTGTTAGAATAAGTAACAATTTTTTCAATGAAAGCTAGTTCCCAATTTCTTGATAAACTGCTTCTTTCACTGTCAAGGTTAAAGGTAAGCTTGAGCGCCTTCGCATAATTTGTCACGTTGTTTGTAGCATTAGCTCCACCAATGATTCTGTTGATGTAAACTGTTTGTCCAAGGTAGGTATACGTTGGATATGTTATCGATCCTAAGGTCATATCTCCTAAAAATGCAGCGCTGAAAATCAAATCTCCTTCTACGACGCAGGCTGAAAATCTTTTTGCACAAATGTCGGTGTATGTGAATGACCCAGCGGAGGTGTCGTACGCTGTTATGTTATGAACTAGGGAATAAATTTCAGATATATCACCCCACAGAGAAAAATCTAGAACATTTCCACCATCTTTTCGTTCAATGATGACAGATGCATAATATCCTAAATCAGGCAGACTTTGTAGGTAGAAGTTTTCACTGGTATTAACGTTGAACATATTGCGAATCTACAAACACATCGTAGATATAAATACTGTTATCTTTATCAAAATGTCCAATAATTAATTGAAAATACAATACTAGGTAATACACTATGTACTTTATATTATTTAATATTCAATTAAATTGTGCAAAACGAAATGTATATGTATCAAGATTGAAGAATTAGACATGCCAAAATTGAAAAATTAAAGAAGGTACCGAGGGAACAACCAAAAAACAGACAAAAAGCATTAGAAAACCCCTACATAGAAAACTAAAGGTCCCACATAATCATGCTAACTCAGGATGCTCTGGAAGAGGAAACAGTATCTGATTAACTAGGAACCAATCATAACATGCAATTATTCATGGACTATTTGTATCGGTGATGTCACAAACAAGGAAAGCAGATGGGACTGTGACTAGGACAAATGGAATATATCTTTAGAAATCTCTGGTACACATACTCCAAGTGATTACCCAAATCATAGTCGCATCTGACAAACTTTCGAAAAAAAAAAATGTTTCATGCTGATATTTAGAGCAATTATGAATATAAAAAGTGTTTTCAGCCGTGTATCACATTCACTGTTGATCCAATGGATGGAAATGTCGTCACTGGTTCAGACGTACTTATAAATATAATTATTTCTGTGACTGTATCTTGCATTAATTAGTAGGATCCTTTGCAATAGATATTTCAGCTGATCTGTAACAATTCCATCTTCATGCCTTTAATATATCATGTACTGTGTTACGACGCTAGATTAAAACTGACAAGGAAAGGTAACACACGGCTACTGAAAGCTTTATTTTTGTGAAGCCTAGGTGGTCGTGTGGTCTAGCGCGTCGGATAGAGTGCAGGCGATTTGGTGTCACGATATCTCAGTAGCATGAGTTCGAATCCCGGCGAGGAAAGAACTAAAAATTTGCGAAAGCAAATTTACAGATCTAACATTATTGGGCTGATGTTTAGACGAGTTGTAAAAACCGCAATTTTTATACGTGTGCATGCAAAACAATTTTCTTGTTAGAGGGGTCTAAATACAGCACAAACAACATTTTCCAAAAGACCAAAAAAGTGAAAAAGTATATTTTAACAAAACGCATTTGACTAACAGGTCGAACAACAAATGTTCTTAAACCCTGCTGACTGCCATTAGCGATTGCCAAATAAACGGATCACCGATGTAATAAATGGATCTTAATTTTAAATTTAACACTAAACAGAAAACAATGGACTTGCGGAAAAGATGATATACCGCAAACAAAAGGTGCGAAGGTTTTGTACACCATATCCGGATTTCGACAATTAATGTCTCTTCAGTGATGTTAGGAATCGAAACGGTATTTGGAAGGCCATATAATTTACCTCAATTTAGGATAGACTCTTGAATTTTGAAAGAGTCAAAATAGGATGAACGGATCATATAAACCCGAAGGCAAATATAATACAAGCCCAAACAAAAAAATATAAACAAGTCTAAATTGAAAACAACGTTCAAACCTATGATTGCGTTGGATAAAAACCGCAATTTTTATACGTGTGCATGCAAAACAATTTTCTTGTTAGAGGGGTCTAAATACAGCACAAACAACATTTTCCAAAAGACCAAAAAAGTGAAAAAGTATATTTTAACAAAACGCATTTGACTAACAGGTCGAACAACAAATGTTCTTAAACCCTGCTGACTGCCATTGGCGATTGCCAAATAAACGGATCACCGATGTAATAAATGGATCTTAATTTTAAATTTAACACTAAACAGAAAACAATGGACTTGCGGAAAAGATGATATACCGCAAACAAAAGGTGCAAAGGTTTTGTACACCATATCCGGATTTCGACAATTAATGTCTCTTCAGTGATGTTAGGAATCGAAAAGGTATTTGGAAGGCCATATAATTTACCTCAATTTAGGATAGACTCTTGAATTTTGAAAGAGTCAAAATAGGATGAACGGATCATATAAACCCGAAGGCAAATATAATACAAGCCCAAACAAAAAAATATAAACAAGTCTAAATTGAAAACAACGTTCAAACCTATGATTGCGTTGGATAAAAACCGCAATTTTTATACGTGTGCATGCAAAACAATTTTCTTGTTAGAGGGGTCTAAATACAGCACAAACAACATTTTCCAAAAGACCAAAAAAGTGAAAAAGTATATTTTAACAAAACGCATTTGACTAACAGGTCGAACAACAAATGTTCTTAAACCCTGCTGACTGCCATTGGCGATTGCCAAATAAACGGATCACCGATGTAATAAATAGATCTTAACTTTAAATTTAACACTAAACAGAAAACAATGGACTTGCGGAAAAGATGATGATATACCGCAAACAAAAGGTGCAAAGGTTTTGTACACCATATCCGGATTTCGACAATTAATGTCTCTTCAGTGATGTTAGGAATCGAAACGGTATTTGGAAGGCCATATAATTTACCTCAATTTAGGATAGACTCTTGAATTTTGAAAGAGTCAAAATAGGATGAACGGATCATATAAACCCGAAGGCAAATATAATACAAGCCCAAACAAAAAAATATAAACAAGTCTAAATTGAAAACAACGTTCAAACCTATGATTGCGTTGGATAAAAACCGCAATTTTTATACGTGTGCATGCAAAACAATTTTCTTGTTAGAGGGGTCTAAATACAGCACAAACAACATTTTCCAAAAGACCAAAAAAGTGAAAAAGTATATTTTAACAAAACGCATTTGACTAACAGGTCGAACAACAAATGTTCTTAAACCCTGCTGACTGCCATTGGCGATTGCCAAATAAACGGATCACCGATGTAATAAATAGATCTTAACTTTAAATTTAACACTAAACAGAAAACAATGGACTTGCGGAAAAGATGATATACCGCAAACAAAAGGTGCAAAGGTTTTGTACACCATATCCGGATTTCGACAATTAATGTCTCTTCAGTGATGTTAGGAATCGAAACGGTATTTGGAAGGCCATATAATTTACCTCAATTTAGGATAGACTCTTGAATTTTGAAAGAGTCAAAATAGGATGAACGGATCATATAAACCCGAAGGCAAATATAATACAAGCCCAAACAAAAAAATATAAACAAGTCTAAATTGAAAACAACGTTCAAACCTATGATTGCGTTGGATAAAAACCGCAATTTTTATACGTGTGCATGCAAAACAATTTTCTTGTTAGAGGGGTCTAAATACAGCACAAACAACATTTTCCAAAAGACCAAAAAAGTGAAAAAGTATATTTTAACAAAACGCATTTGACTAACAGGTCGAACAACAAATGTTCTTAAACCCTGCTGACTGCCATTGGCGATTGCCAAATAAACGGATCACCAGATGTAACAACATGGATCTTAATTATTAATTTAATATCAAACAGAAAACAATAAACTTGCGAAAAAGATGATATACCGCAAACACGAGGTGCAAAGGTTTTGTACACCATATCCGGATTTCGACAAAATGTCTCTTCAGTGATGTTAGGAATCGAAACGGTATTTGGAAGGCCATATAATTTACCTCAATTTAGGATAGACTCTTGAATTTTGAAAGAGTCAAAATAGGATGAACGGATCATATAAACCCGAAGGCAAATATAATACAAGCCCAAACAAAAAAATATAAACAAGTCTAAATTGAAAACAACGTTCAAACCTATGATTGCGTTGGATAAAAACCGCAATTTTTATACGTGTGCATGCAAAACAATTTTCTTGTTAGAGGGGTCTAAATACAGCACAAACAACATTTTCCAAAAGACCAAAAAAGTGAAAAAGTATATTTTAACAAAACGCATTTGACTAACAGGTCGAACAACAAATGTTCTTAAACCCTGCTGACTGCCATTGGCGATTGCCAAATAAACGGATCACCAGATGTAACAACATGGATCTTAATTATTAATTTAATATCAAACAGAAAACAATAAACTTGCGAAAAAGATGATATACCGCAAACACGAGGTGCAAAAATTTGTACACCATATATAGATTTCGACAAAATGTCTCTTCAGTGATGTTAGGAATCGAAACGGTATTTGGAAGGCCATATAATTTACCTCAATTTAGGATAGACTCTTGAATTTTAAAGAGTCGAAACAGGATGAACGGATTAAATAATCCCGAAGGCAAATATAATACAAGCCCAAACGAAAAAATATAAACAAGTCTAAATTGAAAACAACGTTCAACCAATGATTGCGTTGGATAAAACCGCAATTTTTATACGTGTGCATGCAAAAAAAATTTCTTGGTAGAGGGGTCTAAATACAGCACAAACAACATTTTCCAAAAGACTAAAAAAGTGAAAAAGTATATTTTAACAAAACGCATTTGACTAGCAGGTCGAACAACGGATGTTCTTAAACCCTGCTGACTGCCATGGTGATTGCTGAATAAACGGATCACCAGATGTAACAACATGGATCTTAATTATTAATTTAATACCCAAATGAAAACAATAAACTTGCGAAAAAGATGGTATACCGCAAACATGAGGTGCAAAAATTTGTACACCATATCCGGATTTCGACAATTAATGTCTCTTCAGTGATGTTAGGGATCGAAATGGTATTTGGAAGGTCATCTAATTTACCTCAATTTAGAATAGACTCTTGAATTGTAAAGAGTCGAAATAGGATGAACGGATTATATAAACCCGAAGGCAAATATGATACAAGCCCAAACGAAAAACTATAAACAAGTCTAAATTGAAAACAACGTTCAACCTATGATTGCGTTGGATAAAAACCGCAATTTTTATACGTGTGCATGCAACAAATTTTTTGGTAGAGGGGTCTAAATACAGCACAAACAACATTTTCCAAAAGACCAAAAAAAGTGAAAAAGTATATTTTAACAAAACGCATTTGACTAACAGGTCGAACAACGGATGTTCTTAAACCCTGCTGACTGCCATGGCGATTGCCAAATAAACGGATCACCAGATGAAACAACATGGATCTTAATTATTAATTTAATACCCAACAGAAAACAATAAACTTGCGAAAAAGATGGTATACCGCAAAAATGAGATGCAAAAATTTGTACACCATATTCGGATTTTGACAATTAATGTCTCTTCAGTGATGTTAGGAATAGAAACGGTATATATATATATCAGCACAACAATGTTAAATCTTCATATTTGCGGAAGCAAATTTTTGTTCTTCCCTCGCCGGGATTCAAACTGATGCTATTGATATATCGAGACAACACCGCCTGCACTGTGTGCAGCGCTCTAGACCACTCGGCCACCTAGACTGAACTAAACAATTCAGCTTTCGGTGGCTAAGCGTTACCTTTCCTCGTCAGTAAAATCTAGAGTTGTAACACAGTACGTGATACATTAGGTATGAAGATGGAATTGATTCCAGATTAGTTAAATTATCTATCGTCAAGGATCGTAAGATGCAGTCACAGAATAAATATTTGATAAATACGTCTAAACAAGTAACAACTCTACGACAGATCCATCCATTGAATCACCAGTGAAGGTGATACATGGCTATGTGTTTTCAGCCGTGTATCACCTTCACTTGCGATCCAATGTTTGAATCTGTCGTAGAGTTGTCACTTGTTTAGACGTAACTATATGTATATATATATATATATACAAGTCTAAATTGAAAACAACGTTCAAACCTATGATTGCGTTGGATAAAAATCGCAATTTTTATACGTGTGCATGCAAAACAAGTTTCTTGTTAGAGGGGTCTAAATACAGCACAAACAACATTTTCCAAAAGACCAAATGAGTGAAAAAGTATATTTTAACAAAACGCATTTGACTAGCAGGTTTATATGCGTGAAGTTCATGAATGAAAATAAGTTTTTGTAACTATCAGATATCTGATATTGATGACTGGTATCATGTTTTTGTTTTAGTCCAATTTCAAATTTCAAATGCACAATTGCTTGATATAAAGTGAAATATGAAAAATGTATATAGTCATATGACATTTTCATTATAATCGATAATTGTTTTCGGGTAAAACTGCATTAATTTTGAGAATTAAGTTTCTTACGGATAAACTTTCCCAAAGTTAATGAAGATGGGATTACATATTCTGGGTGAATGTTGATTTGTTATTATTGGATCTTCAATGCTGAAAATGGAACGTTGACATGAAAGTTAAGTATTAAAAATGGAATGCCAAAGGTTAAAGATTACACAATGTGTTTAGCCGGAATGCTTAACTTTACAAGATTTCATTTGATCAATCCTGACACCCCTCGGTGTGTTCTACGACAAGAAAAAACGTTAAAATATGCATTATCTATAACTTAATGTGCATGTGGAAAAAACGAGTCTTAAATGTTGTAATTAAAAAATCAAATATCTAAATCGAAAATTGAATGTTTATGCATTATGTTAGATCTTTAAAGGGGCATTAGGTACAAGATATGTATAATAAACTCATCAAAGATACCAGGATTGAAATTTTGTATTTGCGTTTCGTCTACAAAAGACTCATCAGTGACGCTTAAATCAAAAAAAGTTAAAAAGGCCAAATAAAGTACGAAGTTGAAGAGCATTGAGGACCAAAAATTCCTAAAGGTTTTGCCAAATACAGCTAAAGTAATCTATTCCTGAGGTAGAAAAGCCTTAGTATTTCAAAAATGTAAAGTTTTGTAAACAGTTAATTTATAATTATGACCATATCAATGATAATTCATGGCAACACAGAAGTGCTGACAACTGGGCTGGTGATACCCTCGGTGAATAAAAACTCCACCAGCAGTGGCATAAATTAGAATATGATTTTTGTTTGTTCAATCATTAATAAAAATGAAATAATGAAATAATAATTCGCTTTTAGCAGCCGATTTGATCAATTTTGTCAAAATATGCACAGAAACATCGCTTGCAAGTGAATAATTCGACATAATTGAATCCGTATTCATGTGACCTCCAATTTAACCCATTAGCTAGAGATTGGTTTCGCATGTATTAGTCGTGTTCAGTCATTAAAAGGAAAAGAATGTCAACATTGAAAGTGAAACAAAGGTGAACCGTTTCGTTGACTGATTCGATCCATAAAAATCATTCTTATACAGGTAAAAACGATGATTAAATTACTCCTTTAAACCATGACATGAAATCTAACTGACCTAGAAAAGTCCAATTGCACGAGGTCGCTTTCTATTTCTATTTATGTTTATGTTTTTGTATCGGAATATGTGACCGTCGGCGGTCTTCGGATGTCATCTCGATGGTAAATTAGATGGCGTCTAGACTAAAATACACACGAAATGCTGATATATACTATCGAGCACATGCATTGTTATCTGTTTATTTCAGACTGATTATAATTTGGATATACGTTTTAATATGTTATAAATCAAATATGGGAATTTGAGCCATATCGGTAAATATGAATTTGACAGCTAATGCCCCTTTAAAGTCTATTGTTAGAAATTCAAACTGAATGCCAAATATGTAAATCGAAAATTTCATGTTGAAATCTCGTGTTGAGTGTTGCAAGTGAATGATTGATTGAATATTGGAATAGGACTTCGAATACTTAGCCGGTCGATCAATCTCTAGTGAAGATTTGAATACGGTTCAATTATGACAAAATATTAAAATGCAATTATATAATGAGTTACCTTGGTTTTGAGAGATTATTTAAATCATACTGAAATTCGGAAAATACAAAAAAAAAAATCAATTCGCATAATACCTTAGAATCAAAAGCAGAAAGCCTGTATATGTAGAATGGGAATAAAAAAATGGCATATTTCAATCTAAAATAAGCTCTGTCATAATTTATGTATTGCACTTATATAAGGAATTCGATCGCAAAAATATTATCAGATTTGATTTAATATATATAAAAAGATGTGGTATGAGTACTAATGAGACAACTCTCCATCCAAGTCATAATTTGTAAAAGTAAATCATTATAGGTCAAAGTACAAACTTCAACACGGAGCTTTGGCTCACACCGAACAGCATGCTATAAAGGGCCCCAAAAATGACTAGTGTAAAACCATTCAAACAGGAAAACCAACGGTCTAATCTATACAAAAAAAAAACGAGAAACGAGAATTACACATCAACAAACGACAAGCACTGAACATCAGGTTCCTGACTTAGGACAGGTGCTAACAAATGCAGCGGGTTTGAACGTTTTAATAGGCACCAACCTGCACCCTACCTGAAACAATAGAGTAACATCAGAACATAGAAAGACACACTATAAAATATCAATTGAAATGGCTTCACTCAATCAAAAGCCATACTAACAAAAACATGTGAACACTGAACGAATAAATTTGATCAATGACACAATGTAAATACAAAATTAATAAAAAAGGGGGTTAGATGTAAAACAATATTTTAAAGTTAACATTTATCCATTGATTGGATTGAAATAAAACAATTACCTGGTCTCTATTTTTGCTAGCAGTACTATCTGTTGGAGTGTACTGTTCGATTCCAGATTCTGTTTGTAGGCGAAGAAGCCCAAATCCCAAACCCACATCAATGAAGACTACCACTAAAATAACCTTAAGAGGATGTCTGGCGATAAAACGACCATATTTTTCAAATACTGATCCGATTGCATGCTCAACCTTCTGCTGGAACTTGTAAAACATCTATAAAAAAAAAGCTTTTTGAAAATATTGATTATTGATGTTTGACTTATAATGCTGTATAAAATAGATATAACTCATTTAAAAATAACGCAATACATTTAAATTTAATTGATTAGCTTAAGCCAAAACAATGCTTATTGTTAACAGTTATTAAGTGAATATGTGGGTTTCTTACCTTGCAATACTGTCCTGGTCACATTTAAACGATTAAATATTCTAAAATACATATACAAGCGCTTGTGTCTTTGTTATATGATCATTTTATCGCGTCACGTGGACCAGTGATCAATATTGCTTCTTCGTAATTAATCAGGAAGGAAATGCAACCAATCAAATAAATAACCAATTGAACATGCGTGTACGGTACTTTAATGGCAATTGGTTTTTCCCACTGTAATTTTGATAATAGGTATTTGTTAGGATTTAGATTTCAGTAACAACGCCTAATCTGTGTGAAGAATAAATAAATAAACATGTCGAAGCGATCAATTGTTTCATTTATAGTGAAATAAGATCTGTAGAAAACAGAACATTGCCACTTGAAATGGATACCCTGAAGATTACATCCCTTTATAGTATACCGAATAATAATTCGATTTTTGTTTTATTAAACCTCTTGAACAGTTTACCCATTGTCAGCTTATAAAAGAAGCTGAAAAAGTTGATCAATATATAGGTACACACAGGAAAAGAAATAGATTGTGGTTTAAATGCATATTTGAATTCCTCTAGTTACCCTCTATGCACGATGTGTTCTGTATTCAACTCATGTAGACTGAAGTCAAATCTTTAGGCTTTTATTTATAATACTTGTACCTTTTTTTTAAATCCACACGAATTGTCCATTGTTTCACTAGTGCCGACAGATTTACTTGTTGCAGGTCGTCAAGGAACTTTTTGATTACGTATTACCTCATTAAACTTATATAATCATATGCAGTAACATTTATGACAATTGAGCCTCATGAATTATGTAAATTGCAAAAAAAGATATACATGTATTGATAATAAAAAGTTTTTAAAGAATTCAAAGTGTATAACTCAGTCTAGGCTGTGACTTACGAATTCCTTTATAGTTACTCTTTATGTGTTGACTTTCAACTGAGTTCTAGAAAATGTTCGATATATATTTTTGTAAAATCCGCTCATTCTCATTTATGACAGAAGTTATCATAGTAACCAATTAATCAATTCAAGAAAAAAATATTAGTATTTAATTTAAACCATTTTTAGTACTAAAGTGTTGTATTCTAACAAAATGGTCTCCTTATAAAGCTTAAGGTAAAACAATTGGGAATTTGAAACTTTTAGAACACGTTTGAGAGCAGAATAAACAATAAATTACTCATTTTGGTGTAAATAGCTTGAGAGAACTGAACGTTTTCGGTTTTCGCGAACATATAAAGATAACAAGCGAGGACTTAGGTAGCACTCCACAGTTAGGAAATAAAATTAAAATTGACCCACAAAATGTTTAATCATTTTCTATCCCTGGCGTTCTAATACATTAAGCTAACTGTGTGTGTCATATATGTGCATATATGTATTTAATCAGTATCTCACAGATTTGATTTTCAATAGTTAACATGGTGAATTATAATTCCTATTTATTTACCACATAATAATGCAAAAAAGGAACAAACATGTAACATACTCCCCCAAAATTTTGCTCATGTCTTTCGCCCCATTTTTTCGTAAAATTGAATCACAAAGTTCATGCGACACAAAGGGGAGAAAAGTTACAATACTTTCTGAACCAATGTCTGGTATGGATATGAAAACACGGACGGCCATACAGAAAACAGCTTATAATACATATATTACACAATCTTGATGTTCCTTTTAAACCCACTTTGTAGGATATATAAATCTTCAGCTATCCAAAAAGGAATTTTATTGCACACTAGCTTTCATATTTGAACAATCATCCGGGGACAAAATGCGACAATACATACCTAACTGTGGAGTGCTTGCTACCTTATTACAAAAGGTCACAACAATCTCTCAACATCAAGTTTTGTTTCAAATCATGCATATTTTTACTGTTTACCCGAAATTTTAAGGTTTTCTTCCAATGGTATAGGTTATCATAGGTTAATTTATTGGTGACATTTTATGATATATGCAAATGGTGTTATTGTTTCCTCAGAAATATCAAAAATACAATAAAACAAACTGATAATGGTGAAAAGATAATTCTAATTTGATTAACTGTCCGTTTAATGTTCCCTGTTTGCCTTAAATAAATTATGCAGATATGGCATTTTGTTTTGAACAATTAATAAGAAGATATTGGAGAAAAGTTTGTAAAGAGGCATGTCTGGCATTTATGATCAGGCCGTTCACTAACTCATGGATCGAAGTCTACATCTCGGATGTCATATTGGTAAACACGCTGAACATGAGCAATCCCCTTTGAATCCACTGCTTTCAAAAAAGCTGAATGTTCGAAAAGGTGATTTTCTATGATAAGGATGCCCTTTAAAATTGGTTAAAATAAAAAATTCTAGAAATGAAATAAAATAAAATCAGTAGAAATACATTGTTTTCATGTGTAAAAAAATCAATCAAATTTACTGTTCGCAAAAATATGAATTATTCTAAATACTAAATATTTTCTTATCCCAGGCAGATAACCTATCCGTATTTGACACAACTTTGTGGAATTTTGGGTCATCAATGCTCTTGATCTTTAAGCCTGGCACCTTTGATACCTATTAGCTTGTCGTAATGTTCTATTGTATTGTTTATTTGTGTATTTCTCTGTCCTGTATGTTCTTCCATTTATTTTTATTGTAGTCCTGTCATGTAATGTTGTCATTTTAGTGTTATATTTAACATTGCCATTAAAGCGGGAGGTTTGCCTAGCGACAAACCCAGGTTCAACCCACCATTTTTTCTTAAAATGTCCTGTACCAAGTCAGGAAAATGGCTAACTTTATCTTATAGTTCGGTTCTGTGTGTGTTGCATTTTAGTGTTTCTGTTGTGTCGTTGTTCTCTTCTTATATTTGATGTGTTTCCCTCAGTTTCAGTTTGTAACCCGGATTTGTTTTTTCTCAATCGATTTATGAATTTCGAACAGCGGTATACTACTGTTGTCTTTATTTATTGGCCATAGAAATAAAGAAAGGCAGAGTGAATTCTGGTTGTAATTTGTGACAAATCTTCACACTTAAAATTTTTATGGAAAAAACTTCCTCATTCACAGCTAAATGGACCCGTTTCACCTCCAGTAATGAACAGGGGTTTATAAAGTTTGATAATGCATTGGTATCGAAACCCATAGCCTATAACCCCAAAAGAAGGAAACAGAAGGATGCAGTTGAGGACTATGCCAAGAATGGATACAGAGTGAACCAGATGAACTAGCAATGGATATTTTATCTGAATGTATCACAGCTATTCGGTTATTTGGAAATGCATTTTAAAAACTAAGACGTACATTGAGCTTACGGGTTTCTATTTCTATGTAGAAAGCCCACGGTTGTGGATTCTCAATTCTATATACATGTTTCAGAAATACAAGTATATCTGTCCATCTACTCGGTATTATATTTGTTTTTATCTATAATTTGTTTATACTTTGTGTCTGCAAGGTCATTGAAGAAAGGTAGCAAAAAAGGGTAGCAAAAAGGCTACAGTTTACAGTCGAACGGTAAAATATAAATCGTGTTAATACTAAAATGCTCTTTCGTAGGGTATCCTTGGAAACTGAAAGTTTATCAGTACTGATTTAAAGTATGGGAGAATGCGGCTAAAGAAGTCGGTGGGTGATACCAAAAGGAACATCAACTTTCATAAATGATCTCCATAATAAGGTAAGAGAGAATATTTGGGCTATCTGTGAATATGCTAGATCTTCATTATGACACAAACGTACAAGATATACTGTCGCATCATATTTATCTATATACATAATGTTTGTGGTATTAAGAACGTTAATTAAGTTGTTGAAAATGTTGGACTCAATATATCATGTTAATTTCCTTTAAAAAACGAACATGAGAAGCTCTGCAAAGTCTGTTCGAAAATTACTGCTGCTTTAATCAGATCGATGAAGGAGATAATCAAGGTAACACATAAAGTCTAGGGAATCGCATGATTCAAAAGTAGCCAGATCGGGCGTGTCAACAGGCGTTTCATGGGGAAAAGATGAAGCACCACAACCATGGGCTTCCTGAATACGAATAGAAACCGGTAAGCTCGTTGCACGTCGTAGCTTTTGAATGCACTTGAAAAATAACCAAACAGCAGTGATATATTCAGATAAAGTATCCATTGCTAGTTCATCTGGTCCACGCTGTACCAATTCTCTGGCATAGTCCTCAACTGCATACTTCTGTAACTTGGAGGTCTCCTCCTAGGTAATAGGCTTGGGGTTTCGATATTTCGAGGTTTTGGCTAACAACTCTCTAAGTTGTTCATCGTAAACTATGTAAAGGTCTCAAGTAATAAGATGACCAGCGGGACTTTATTTTTATGGGGACTATGAACAAGGACAATCGTGAGGCTTGGAATTTACATCCTTGGCGGTAAAGGTATCTAAACTAGGAAGTGTTGAAATGCTTTGTATGCTCTTGTGATGTCGAATGAATTAACCTTTAAAATTACTTTAACCTGAGTTCATTTTGAATTTTATTCAAAGGTTATTCAACGAACCAATTACATATCAGTATGAATAGATAGAGTAGCTTTGACATATAGAGTTTTATTTCATAACAACATAACTTCCTTGTTATTTTAGATACTATTTATGGTTGGTTAATTATCGATATAATCTATGAATAAAGACTAGTATAATTAAAGACCAAGTGATACACAACTTAAGTGTTTCGTATTATAACACAATATATTAAAATTAAATATTTACTGTTTACATTTATGTTCAAGAAATTTAGCAAATTTTCTATGTAGAATAACAGTGTAAATATTTACAGTGGTATATTGGATAAGTCTCAAAATTGACTGACATATTGAAAATGACTTGATAATTTATTGT